GAATTTTTAAGGGGCTGAGGAATACATATATGTACAGTGTGTTTCACTCAAATGGTAACACAAAATATTTCTGTTCAGTGACCTTGGATTGMATTGGGATTTTTTCGAGGAGCTAGGGAATACTAAAATACACATTTTGTGATCATGTTCGAATTTTTAATTATGTTATTGTGCTCATAAATGGGCGATGTGGGGTGAGGATTCCTTACTAAAACTGGGATGATCACCCATCCGGGAACTATCAACGGCGATCAACGCTTGACCTCAGAACACGCGTTGGTATATACCAGGTCCTTATTTTTATCACTATCAAATAATAATATGTTCATAATTATTATAACATCTGTTATAATTAGGTACATATTATTTGTTATGATAATATGACGCTCTATAAAAAGTAGATAACTATTTAAAYGTAGTCTTACTAAATGTTAATATTAAATTTGAGCGATTTATAATAATGTTTTTGTGATGTGTAATATGGCAATATGTATTGTTTGTTCTTAACATTTATTTCTTTTTAGAAATTGTCACTTTTTTTRATATGTAGAATAATGGCCATACTTAACCTAACCACGGGTTTCATCCCGTAAACCGAACGGGTGTAATAACAATCACACTACGGCATACATAGGTACTTACTTATTATATGATTTCACGCGGGAAACTCTGCCCGCCCGTCCGGCCACCCGCGGACCTCACTTCACTGTACAAATGCGCCGCGTACGAGATCAATCACGCCACACACGCGGCTATATTTACACGTACATATTATAATATTATTATTATTATATCACATATATATATCGTATATTATACGATCGTAATACCAACACTGCGGTATAAGGGCGGTGATGGTACATCAAAGAGCCACCTCCAACAATTGTAAATATTGATAGACTGCAGGAAACGCACACACTCGCGGCGTGTATTATACACACGGTAATATTATATTATTGTATATATATATTTATAGGTACGATGTGTGTACAGGTATTTTTATATTGTGGTCGCGTGAAGGTGTAGTGTACCTCGTCGTGTATACCGACGCACCGTGTGCGCGCGTGTGTGTTTTTATGCAAGTCGGATGATGATGATGATGTGACGTCCTAAGTGAGACCGGTGCAGCGTTGTGTTGTTTTCATTGTATAATGTGTGTGTGTGTGTGTGTATGTGTGTGTGTGGTATTAATAATAATGAATTCAAACGGGCTGAAAAACGACTCGCGCCTCCCCGATAATAGTTCGCGGCCGAGTACGGGTGGGGGTGCATACGGGGGGTCTGAGGATGTCGGTTTGGAGGCATAATATTATAGGTACGTATGTTATCGCCGTGGCGGTCAGCGGAGACGGCGGCGGCGGTGGCGTGCGCGACAAACAACAATACTTGGCTTAATGACCCGGCCTAGCCCTCCGAGCCCGGCATTCGAAACAATCACGTACGATTTTTTATAATAACACCGGCCAGTATTATTTACGTACGTAAATACAATATTATTATATGTATATTGTATACATACACACACACACACACACCGACAACGCGGTTATAATATTATTATTATAATATGACGCTACGGTTCCCAGAAGTCGTGTGTGTGTGTGTGTGTGTGTGTCACTATAGTGCCATATATACCTACATATAATAATAATAATATTATACGGACGAGCCTTCGTCGTAAACGCCTTTTCCTACGGAACGGAACACATATTTATAAAATAATAATATAGACCATATTTTATTATTATATACCTACCAGGTAGTATTGCAATAGCAATTTTTATTTATTTGTTTATTTATTTTTATTTTTTGGTATAAAATATACGTTTCGATCGTCATCGCGTGACCGAATCGTCTCTCGTTTGCTTGTCACGTCTTGCGCATCACACTCATTGTCAGGAGAAAATTGCGTCGTTTTCTTTTTTAGGCGTTGCGTACATCGATCTCGCTTCGACTGATTAACTGCAGCGACGGTTATCGACATCCCCGAATATGTTTTTTTGAGGGCTGCCGGGTCGGAAAGTGGTTTTAGTCGTCCAATCGAAATAATTAATTTGATTTCACTCGGCGTTCGGTATGATGTTTGCAGGTCATTTTATATTTTATTTTAGTACCGTACGACTCGTTGGTAAAATAATTAAAATGATAATAAATATGTATATAATACACTTAGCTACCATATAATATATATATATAATATATAAAAAATGTTATATTATATTATTATATAAAGCGTATTTCACGGTAGTTAAAAATTTGATTGACATTCGCTTTCGTGTTTTGCACTTGCACTAAATAATTATACATGTGTAATGTAATTATCTTACATTAATCAACTTATCTAATTTTAGGTACTATTTATACGTTACAGCATATATCATGTATGTATTATATTTATATTTAGTACATCGCGATTGCAGTGCTGCCACGCTTAAAAGTATATTATGCATATAAATATAATATACGACGTTAAACATACGTAATCAATTAATATAGTTTTTTTATAATTACTACATCAAGGTCGTGAGTTTTTGTCAGAATACTGAGTTGGGTAGGAAAAACATCGTTTCGTAAAAGTTAGATATTAACCTATCGTATTCATGTACGACACAACAATAATAATAATAATAACAATATGTGTATTTATAAAAAGGTTTTTTTTTTTATACGACTGCGGCAATTCTTTATCTTTATAATATTCATTACATATATTTCTTTTTTTATCGTTCGCCTTTAGATGTAAAGATATTTAGTTATTTTATGCTTTTTTTTTTATTTTACGGTGGTCTACTGGATTTTTCGCGATTTGGACGATTTTGCGTGCATTCGTGTATACTAACCAGGTACATAATAATGTAAACTATAGCATGAACATAGACTGTATATACTCTGTTAGGTACGGTGTGGCTTATAGAGGGCGGAATCACGAGCAAACGAATAATATAAATTATATAATGAAACGAGTCAAATTTTTTATTACAATATTCCTACCGTACGCACATCGCGTAGGTAAACTATACATAATAATAAATGTAGCCCGTAATTATAAGTCGTAAAAAGAACCACGCGGCTGACTGGAAACGGCCCGAGGGGACTTCACTTCGCCATTTCAGATCCTCCGCACGATTTCTGTATTTATTTTTATTTTTTATTTTTCGTATAACTTATAGGTACGAGTATTATACATCGAACAGTATATACCTATACGTAATAAAATGCATCATTATATTATATTATTATGTGTGTGTGCGCCGTGGCAGTAGGACGTATTCTTTACTTCGTTACATTATTATTGGGCTGCACATTCGACGCCATATTGTATAGACTTTACATTATACTCGTATATTAAATTAAATTAATTTATTATTTAATACGCGCGCGCGCACCTACCTATATATTGTATATAGTATAATATGATGGGTTTGAAGTTACGTTTTTTAATCAGAAAGTTATTATTTTTTCTTTGAACGAATGGGAACAACTATAGCTACGAGTGAAACTCGTTTATTGTAGTCGAGTACGTTTTTTTTTTAAAAAGATAAAGAAATTATATTCATACAGAAATGCTTTGTTATATATTCATTTATTCGTTTCGACAACGATCGATAGGTTGGATTTATACGATAAAACGACTGAACGTGGCGCCATCGTAACGGCTTCTTTAGATCATTTTTTTCATATTATTGCGTTTATGATGATGCGCAAAGTTTAGGTATTTGGTAATGTCAACTTATATTATAAATTATAATATAATCCTAGTTCGAAAAATTTGATTTACTCTTTCAATGGCAGGTTAGGTTATCCGTGACTTAAATGCAAATGACGGGGCCAATTTTAATGATATTTTTTTTTAATTATTGTTGATAACAGAACTTTGGCAATATAGGTCATTGGGTTTACAAATAATTTAATTGATTACGATATATATAATATTGTGTACTTATTCAAAACATTGACTTTAAATTTTGGTTTAAATATTGATAGACTGTGATAAACTGCTGGATGATGTTAGTTATGGCTTGGGAATGATTTTTGAGAATTTTGGCTAGGTACTGATTCGGGCAGGCTTTTACATGTTTTTATGTTGTGATATATTTGGCATTCAGCGAGAATGTGGTTGATGGGGTTTTTTTAATTATATTATACCATTTGCTAGTTACCTAAAGCATGATACAACATGTCTACAACTCATAAAGTCACAACACTCATAACTAGGGCTCGGATTTCAATGCATTTGCATATTTTTTTTGGGATATCTTACGCGATGCTTTCCAAGCTACAAATATGTTTCAAGTACTTCGCGATCTAACCACAATAATTTGTAGGGGCATTTTTTTGCATTTTTAGCGGATTTCAACATTTTTAGTGCATTTTTTGACGGTTTTAATGCATTTTTTAATTTTTTAGTACATTTTTGACTTTTTTGTCGTATTATGACTAAAAAAATTGACCTCATTGAAATATAAGTACTACATAGTAATATAGTACTACGTAATAAAAATTATTTTCATTTTGAACTATTTGAACTAATTTAACATCAGGTTTTCCGGTTTTTACAGCCTTTATGTCACACCATCCAATTAGCCAATATTATTGCACACAACTAAAATTTTATCGGATTATTTTCTTATCGAGCAATAATATTATATCGGTGGTGTGCGTTTAATAAATAATGCATTTTTTAAAACGTCATTTTTTTGATATTTTTAGGGCATTTAAATCCGAGCCCTACTCATAACCAAATAGTATAATTATTATTTAGCATGTTATACCTATCTACGTACATAATATATTACAATTTACGTTTACGTTTTACTGTCGTGCAATACAATAACATATAATTTGAAAAAATTATATTGTGTTYAACATTTTTTTTATAGATCGTGTTAAATTAGTTTAAAAACAATATTGCCGAAGTTATTATGGTTATCGTTTTGTCTGTATTATTTATAAATTATAAATATATTACGGTTTACTTTTATTATATAAATTTTGTATAGGAACTCCAATTAGTCGTCTACCCATCATGGCAAAACGCGTTTTGGATTTGTACACTCTGTATAAGTTGGTCGTCCAAAGAGGAGGCATTGTCGCGGTCATCACCAAGAAATTGTGGCAGGAGATCATCAGAGGCCTAGGACTACCTCCTTCTATAACGAGTGCTGCATTCACATTACGCACACAGTAAGTACATACCTATACTACTATGTAATATAATTTAAGCATTTAAAATCATTACCACATTTAATCGCGAACAAAATAATCCATATTAAATACGTTCAAGACAACATATAAATATATTTAAGTAGGTGAAATATAAACGCTATATATACGAATAGTAATATATATTGAACTTTCGTTACTTTCTAAACATTTTTAAGTCAAGTAATACAATAATTATATTTTTAATAGGCTTAATATTATTTTAAGTGTTACTGAAAATATGCATAAAATATAATGATATAGTTAATAAGATACAAGTGTATATATTATATAATATATACTTATACTTATATTTATATTATACCTATGTATTTAATTTTAGATTTATTATATTTATTACTGAAATTTTCTTCAATTTTTATCTGAAGATAGAGCATATATACAGCAATAACATTTGAAAGTCAAATCAATATTGACCACCATATAGACAATTTAAGCTGCGTATTATAATTAAACTTGCTTATAAAAAATTGTCCGAACTCCTCAGTCCCTTGTATAGTCTCATTATATACATAAATTCATCATTATTTTACGCACTTACATTTACTGCAAACACCTGCCAGGCAGATTCATTTTTGATTTGTGAATTTATAAACACGAGAATAAAATGTTCGGGAAAAGCATTTTTAGAATTATTCCGTCTAAATATTCTCCGACATCAACAATAGTGTTCGCAGATGATAATAATTGCCGCAGCTAACATTGTCCACGTTTATAGTTTAGTGGTTCATATCCCTATTATTATGTATTGACGTGGAAATAATATATATAAAAAAAATGTACAGATACGTCAAATACTTATACGCATATGAGTCTCGAATGAACCAATTCAGTACGTTGGACGAGCTGAATATGGCGATAGCGGGTAACCGGCGCGAAGGCCGGCGAAACAAGTCGCTCATGTATTCGGACATGCCGCCGCCACCAACCGGACATCCGCACCACCATCCCCACAGCCATCACCAACAAGTACACGGTGGCCACTCGCATTCAATGATGGGTGGAGGTGCCCCGTCACAGCCGTCGTCGCAACAACAACAACAACAACAACAACAGCAGCAGCAGCAGCAACAGCAGCAGCAGCAGTCGCCGTCATCCCATCACCATCACCACTACGCCAACGTGCTGGCCGCCGAGGATCGGTTTCGGCATCTTGCCGCCGCCATCATCGACAACCACCATCACGCTGCCGCCGCTGCAGCCGTCGCGGCGGCCGGCGTAGGCGTCGACCATCCCTGTAGGCTGAGGATGCAATCGTGCAGTCCACCGCAGCATCAGCAACAACAATTGAAATTGCAACCGGAATGCAAGACTTCCGCGGTCGCGTTGCACCAAACGCCCCGATCGCCGGCCGCCGCCGGACTTCCACCACCGCCACCCATGCCACCGTCATCAATGTTCAACGGCCACCAGCCACCATCATACCAACACCTYCATCAACAGCAGCAACAGCAACATCAGTCCAACGCCGTYCAGTCCACCAACGAGCAGACAAACAAACAAAGAGGTTAGTACCGCATATATTGTTTAATATTAAACAATAATTATCTATTGAATTCAATACGTCGACGAGTATAGACAAAAGGTAAAACCCTTTAAAAAGATCATKCTTCTATTAATAAAATATTTTTTTATAAACTAATAATATCGGTTCTCCAAGCTTCTTTTTTCTTTCTAATATATTAATATACTCAAATTTGTATTTATTTAATATAAAAAGTTTGATAATTATTAAATTCTATTTTCGAATGAGGAAATCATTTTTACTTAATTATTCGATGAGTACAGAAATTAGTGTATACAACTCAACATTATAGTTCATGAAATTTCAAGTTGAAAAAAATAAAAACTTCTATGATAATATTTTAATGATAGTGATTAAAGGCAATAAAATAGCAGGTGGATTATATACCATAGATTTCTCACGGCTCTTTATCTTTAGATAATTTTGTGTAGTACATTATATTCTCAAACATCACAATTCTTTTGTCGGTAACAAATAATTATCACTTGCCACATGTTTTGTCAATAGGTACACAATTGGTGATGAACTGATGACTATTAAAAAAAAAAATGTTTTTTTCTTTGTTTAGACACTTAGATTTCACTATATAGGTGTATTTTATGTATCTATATAACTGTTATCTCTTTAAGTTATACATAATATTATAAATTGCTTAGTCGTTATTGAGTGGTTTTTGTGTACAAATATATTTTTTTTTATAAACGCACCGTATATTAATAAATAACGACTGTATAATATTATAATCGAATTCCGACGTGAATGCCATAAACTAATTTATATCACACAGATTTGTGTTGTGACATACCGATTTCAATAATTTAAKCTGTCGTGGCGTAATATTGGGAATCGATATATTTCAATATTTGGTACATAATTCAAAAATACTGAACGATTATTATACTGTATGTATACTATATACCTATATAATACACAATGTATGACCTATAGGCTATAGTTGATTATTATTAAACATATAATTTTCTATTTACTATCATGRATATAATACCTAATATAATTACGTCACAATATGATCTTCTCGTTATGTTACTTGTTACTATATATACACTCGATAATAATACACATAAYTGCTCATTACATTATGTTTTTTATTCAATTCGTAATTAAATAACGTACAATTTAGTATTGTCGGTGGTCACACACCACAGTTCGACAATAATAAAATTAGAATATTTGTTGTTCAATATATCATTCAAACAAGTATGGTATATGATAATTGATACTATACGTATACTAGATCTGCAAGGGTTGATGGTATTACAGATCTGACCTAATTAGTTTTTATTTAAGTCCCACTTGGCTCAAAATTTTTTTCTCCAAATATAGACCCATTGTGTCAATTTAATTTCCAATAATAAAATATGCAGGTACGACGTACTATTAAAATACAAATGTTTTTTTTTTATACTATACATCATTTAAAACCTATACCGGCTATATCCTAATATTTATAATAATAATTTTTGAGAAATCCTAGTGAACTTGGTGGCTGATAAATTCCGTCAACATTTCATACTTGCATCACGCTATATAAGTAGAAATCCACTATGAAATCCACGATCAACGACACCTACACCTACAACACCTCTTATTACAAATACCATGACACTAAAAAATAATATCAAACAAATTCTAATATTTTAATAATTATTATTATTGTTTTTTTTTTATCTAAATTACATATAACAATAATGAATAAATAGAGCATTTTTACTTAAAGATGATTTGCTTTGAGACACTTAACACAGATTTGGAGTTATCTAGGTATCTATATTTTATTTACGCGTAGCATAACYCTGATACATTAATAATATTTTTTTCTGCGTAAAACATGGTTTACTGCAGTGTGGAATTTGTCATTTATTTTTCGTCTTTGTTGTTATAAATTTACATTCACGTCTCGCTACCGCCAGACGCGTGTTGAGGTATGTAAAAATAAGAAAATCAAAATAAACCAATGTACTAATTCTGTGGAAATGCTATGTCACAGCGTGGCGTGGCCGCGGGAAATCATATTATATTATTATAGTTTTCTGGCCGTCGCCCCCGACGGTGTTTGACAGCCGACAGGTCTTCCGAAGAGATGTGCAGCTCTGTTATGACAAACTGTGGGTAGATGATAATGACATATAAACTTTATACCTTTATAACAATAACCAGTATCTAAAAATGGGTTGTGTCGTAACTTTTCATTGTGAACATTGTCGATAGTTATAAATTATAATAATTTTACTCTGGAACGCACGTCTATATAATAATCTAAGCTCGTAAATTAAGATAATTATATTGTAATAGTATTAAACAATGATATAATTTTTATACAAAATTGTATAACTTTAAATTAAAATAACATTAGATTTGATAAAATGTAATGTTCATCATTCGGTTCAATATAAATTACTAAAAGTATCACTAAAATCTTTTTAATACGCATGATGATGTGTAAGCTGCAGTAAGTATATTTTCTTCTAAAATAAAAGTAAAAAATCATGAGTTATTAATATTAATATTTATATGAGAAAAAGTTAATTCTACTGTTTAGTTAGTAACGTTCTACGTTTCTAATGCTTATTAAAACAACGACATTAACAACTTATATTTTGAAATTACAGAAAAATGTTCTACAAAACAGCAAACAATTTATCATTTAAATTATTATCTATACATTTTGTTATTGTATTACCATGTTTAATAATAGCAAAACGAATTTTTATTATCTGACTTTTTTATTTTATATAGGTATTATAGGTGAATAATAGTTTATTGTAATACTCGAATAATTAAGAAGGCCATTTGATCACAATTAAAACAATATATTATAACAATAACTTCATAATCATTTTTATTGGGAGGAATTACATATAAATTCTATAATTTAAATTTAAATTAATAGCTAATAGCTGTAATTATAAATAAGTATCAATAAGACACTAAAGCTGTAAATCCTGTTTTATCAGTTTGAATGCAAATAATGATTATAATAATTAATAGTTGGTAGTATAATTCTTACTATAACTCATTTTTTCATTTATATGATACTCGTAGTTACATGAAAAAATAGTTTATAGAAAATTAATACGAGAGTAACGTGTCTTCGTGTCCCTCCTCTAAATCCGCCGCTGTTCATAACAAAAAGTAAAAATAATATACCTATACAAAAAACAGCTTTAAATTAATTTTTTTAAATAATATAAAAACAATTTTTTTTTTGCAACGTTGCCAACGAATTAGGTATATATGATATGCGTTATCTTTAATATGGTACTTGAACACCTTTGAAGTCAGAAACTGTTCGATTAGTGATGAGTAAGAACGCATTGTGAGTGAACCAAAATGTTCTTACGATAATTTAGTTATGATTTAATAGTTGTTGATCTTAATATATGTATATAATATAATCATAGGTAGGTATATCATTTCATCTCGTATAGGGAAATTTTAACATACGTAATTTGTAAGCCATCTAACAATATATATAATAAATTTTACAGCATATGAGCAGAAATGGCACATTGTTCTAATATGATTGCTTTTTTAAGAATCGCGATATTTTAACATTGGCAATAAGTTCAATGTATCCCAATGTCCCATCGACAATCGTACGACCACACTATTGAAATCAACATAATTTAAAGACGAACTCAGTATAATATTATGATGCGAGGTACAAGATGAGACAAAATATCTTAAATTTCACGACTTCTGTGTTTACGATGATRTGGGTATAGGAAGTCGGCTGTCTGTGATTTCATAATATATCAACTTGTGGTACGTATTATACATAGACCGTTTTTGAAACATTACCAAGAACTTTGCATAGGTACCTAAATTATAATGATAAGTGTGCGTCGGCGACGAAATGCGACAACTACTTTGGAGTAGACAAACAAAAAAATAAATGTATATATAATAATATAAATGTAGGTATACAATATTACGGAGAAACGAAAAAAGAATATCGCGCGATGTGTTCTTGTATCTGCTCATTCATCAGACGTCTTCATTAGTTACGGTTTCGGCGTCGATCAAAAACGCGTTAAAGGTAAACCCGTTGGAATCGTATCAAAAAAGCTCCGAGCTGAGTTGCTGGCCGGTTAATTATTACACGTGGTCTATGCAGACTGAACACATTTCCCGTTGTCACCCGTTAATAACGCTCCCGCCACCGTCGGTCGTAAGTCTCATTCATGTATAGTATTATTATTATTGTCTGCACGACGACTGTGTATTTATATCTATTCACGTCACGTATTACCCGCGGTAAATCGTGAATGCGTCGTCGTTTTCGGGACGTGTGATGATGAGGTCAACAGTTATCGTTTCACGTTTTTTTTCCACGGTATGTAAAATAAATAAAAACCAAATGGCCATATGGAGAATTAGCCTTTTTGCGAAAAGACTATAAGCTAATTTAAATTGGGGTAGTCTGTTTGTGAATTACTTTTTATTTAAACAGCCTGCTGTTTTTTAGTCTTATTGCATACATGCTAACAGAAGTTAGGGCTTTTAAGAACTATACGGGCTACACCCCATTGCTAAGAGCCTAGTATTTTTGCTAAATGGCTAATTTCCCATATGACCTACGAAAAAAAATTTATACTATATAATATGTATAATGTATATTGTATATAATATACACACCATATACATCGCGAGTGGTTTCACAAGTTTTCCTGCGTTAGATTTTTGGGACACGTGCGTGAGTGACACGCCATGTACTCGTATTATTATCAAGCCTATTTGACATGCCTCATTGAATTAAGTTTATAAAAAATGTACCTGAAAACCCTCATTCAAGTTATCATAACTACTGCAATAGAAAAATGTCCTATAGCATATTATGAGCCACTGTTGCTAACCATTTTTTTAATGTTGTTTTTTTCAACTTATAGTAATTATATGTTTATTTATCAATAAACTACCAACAATAATAGTTATTAAGTATAAAATCTTATACTGTTCCCAAACATTAGTGACTGAAATTATAACGAACATTAAACATCAGTACATCACAACGACTGAACTTTTTAGGGCTGTAGAAATACGACCTGAAGTATTTTAGCTGCCTATAATACCTAATGGTCTCTTTTAATGGATCGACATATTTATATGAATCACGAATCACGCTATCAGAAGAGTGATGGAAATTGGAATTAAGCTAGGTGGGAATTAAATTTATTATTCGAATAGTATACCTTTTGGTGACTTCGAAGTCCGTATTTCTTTAGGGCACGCATAACACTTGTTTAAATTTTCATATTAAAACATTTAACAATGAGTGATAAACTCCAGTTTCTATGTATAGTGATGTTAAACATATAAATGAAAARTGCTATTAAATATAATTGTATATTAGTTATACTTCGATCTTTTGTGCCTGTTTCGAGAATCAAAAACGGGCCATACAGTAAAGATTTAATTCGATAAAAAAAAACTTTACGAACAGATATTAAGTATATGGTTCCAAGTTTAATTCTGTAATATATGCCAGTACATATACATATCACATATACCTATATAATTATATATATATATAATATCTACCTATGTCCTATACCAATTTAGATGATAGACAGATGAATTTAATCTAAATTGCGTGCACGCTTTTACCCAGTGCAATAATAATGTTCAATATTATGATGTAGGTAGGCCATCTGCAGTCACGTCCGTTTGTTATTCATATTTTTGATGACRTCTATGGTATGACATTTAATATTACTGTGTGATAAAAAAATCGCCGAGTACATTAATTGCTACTGTACACGCCCGATTGGTTTTGCCGATAAAACATCGCGGGTTATTAATAAAAGCGTATACTAATTTACACATCGGCTATCATACCTATATAGTAACGGGTATGTACATACTGTGTGGTAGCTATAAGGTCGTTTAATCGGTCGAGCCCGATAAACGTTTTACGGCTGTGGATTTATCGTTTTACAGTATCATATTATTATTGTATTRATGCATCGCCGCCGTGGTTAATCGAAACACTGTGCATTGTGATATATTATATTTTTTTTTATTTRAGATAAAGGCTTCCACATTTTATGCATTTTACGCTAACAATTCGGTGTTTTTATTTTGGTAACAATAATAATTAGTAGTATAATATAAAGTGTAAATTACTTGTTTAGGTATCTACCTATCTTATAATATTATTAATAATAACAGTATGACTAGTATTAGGTATTATAAATATTTTTCGTTCATTTYCCGCGTATTACAGTTTTGTGATTGACGTCAATTCGTATATTTTAATCGATATTATGTATGCATGTTTCATGCGTAGGAGTTATTATTAATTGTACGTACCTTTATAATATATACCTATTATGTAATTACGATTTGACAATTAAAAAACATACGTTCTCGCTAATAAAATATGATAATGTTGAAAAATAAATAAACTACAATATCCAACTATCGGTACACCTAAACTTATGCACATAAATAATTTTATACGCTAACTATGCTGGGGGTTTTAGTAGAAAAAATGTAGTGAAAAATAATAATAACGATTATAATAACAATAATGAAACGTACCTAGGTTATACCTAGTTAAAATTTTAAATAGGCTGTTAAAATAGTTATACCTCCATCAAACATATATAGTTACCTATAATACCATTTATATATATGTGTRTATATATATTATATGGTATAGGGCAGGGGCGGCCAAACGGTCGATCGCGGACAATTTCAAAGTCGATCATGTTAGAATTTATTTTTAGGGCAATCGTACGAATTGTTATCGAATTGTCGATAAGTTTTATCTGTTTGTAATGCCACACTTCAACAATGCCCAGAYCAACAAAATAATATGTTAATTAAACTTATCAAATTAGATTTTAGAAATTATTATTTATTATCATATTATTTTTAGTAATTAGTAATAAGTATTAATTAATACTTATTGTATGTTTATATGCACTTTATGCAAGTATGTTTCTTAATAATTATAGTTATTTAATAATAAAAAAAATTTCTATAAAAGTCGATCCTCAAAGGTGAGGTATATTTTTAGWAGATCGTGACCAAAAAAAGTTTGGCAACCCGTGGTATAGGGTATCGTATGGAGCAGTAAAACACATGTGTATCAAGACTTATATCGTTTTTGGGAAAACATTATAATTTAATATAATATGTATAACGCACCGACACATGTGGTTATTTTGATATATCTTAGGCGTTCTATTCCGGATATTATTTGAAATATTAAATAATACGGTTCAACAAGAAAAAATGTGTTTTTATGGGATTAATGCGAAGTCATTTCCAGACTCTATGCCTAATCGTTTTACATTTTCGACCGTCTCATCGTATACCAGCTACAACAGCAATATTGTTTATTTGATTTAATGKACAAGGAMGAAAGATTTTGAGTCCACTCAAATGATGGAACGACGTGGTTCATTTAAAAAATAGGATATTTTATAAAATTTTGTGCTCGAAAATCGCAATTTAATAATGTATTATAATGGTGGGCGGTTGCGTAACAATAATACACATGGACGATGTAATAATATCTCGATGGCTTTTAGGGCGTGATCTTTGCTCGTTATTTATCAAGTTAACACCATAATAACATAAAAAGACGTTATAAAAATAAAGTAATTTTTTTAATTTTAATAATATTATTGAAAATATATTTTTAGAATACTAACTGCGTCTCTACTAAAATCAGTAGTCAAATGTCTATACGCTTGACTGTATTTATTATTATTTTTTTTTTAAATGTTTTTTCTAATTTCTTGTATTTTTTGTTTTTCAGAGCTCCTCAGCATGCTAATGTGGATGGACATAGTCAGAGCGAATCAAACCGCAATACCAAGACTACCCATTTCGAGTGAGTGAAATATTACAAACAATTTTTTTCGACTTCATTACGACTAGTTAATGGTACATAGCCTGCTATCTGTTGACGAAATGGCGCGCCTCATTATTTGATTGGTGTGTTTGATAGCCGACAGAGAGAGTGTATTATAACGCAAATAAATTATAAGTCGTTACAACATAAGGAGTTTTAAATAGGCAAATAGGTTATTTTCAGTAAAAATACGAACGAATAATCATTAAAATTGTATTTATATTATAGACATATTTACAATATAATTTATTTACATGACCTGGCCTTTCCACTATCGGCTATAACTGATGAAGAATTCATATGTAAAAAATATTATGTTCGTTTATAMAACGTTCAATAAATATTTCTTAAGGAATAACAATTGATTTGTAAATGTTTATATTATATTATTATCATATATTTATATTGATTTAGACCATCGAAAAATGTAGACGTTTCTATTTATCACATAAAAAGTTTAACTTCAAATTATTCTTCGCTAAAAATGCTGTCATATTTTACTATAATGTACAGGATGTAGGTCCATCTGAGTCACGCATATGTAATGGAGATTTTATACTCGAATAAGAGCATAATATAACGCTCTGATAAAAACGTATAATTTTTGAATTTGCATTGCTTGTTTGTTCATCGTGAAAGCAAGTTTCAATATTTGTTTGTCAAAATGCGCATCGTATTGAACTAAAACGATATTTCTGATTTTATGAGTACCTATAATTATTACGCAAAACTAAAATTATAAAACTGAAGAAACTACTAGCATAACCGAAACGATGAAATAGTGAAAATTTATAAAAAAATTATTAATTTTTATTTCATCATACATAATATTTATATTATGACCGTATCATAATAATACATAACGATATCGACTAACAAGTCGTGCGATTGTGGTTTTCGCAGGCTTGCCGTCCAGTCCATCAGCTGCTGCAGCGGCGGCGGCAGCCGCTTATACGGCGGCGGCGGCGCTCAACCTAACGCCCACGTACAAGGGACAGCCGATGACGGTGGCTGTTGTGCCAGAACAGAGCGAAGCGTTGAACTTGGGCAAAAAGAGGACGTCGAACAACAACAACAGCGAAGACGAGGACGTAGACGGTGACGGTTCGGGCGAGTATGATGGCAGACGCGAGTCGATGTCATCCGCGGCGAAGCGCATCAAAACGGAACGGTCTTCGCCACCCATCAGTGGCTGTTCCAGTGATGACGAGAAGGCCGTGTCAAAGACGATGAGCAACGGAAGTCCGTCGCCACCGCAACCTTCGGCCGCCGACGATTCTGAGTACAAATCTGATGAGATGAGGCGCAGCTCTTCACCGATCGACGAAGACGTGGTCGAGATGGACATTAACACGTCGGATTCGGCTGGTGAGAACCTATTGTAATAAAACTTTGTTGTATTAACGGATTTGTGGCCCAAACACAACTTACCAACCGATTTGTAATTGCTAGAAATGTGAATAATCCAATACTAAACCTAATAGCACAAAAAATATTAACTTTAAGAAGTATCGTAACAACAATAAAATATAAGAAAGGGTCACAACGCTCAATCCTATTTATGTATAGTAAAACGTTGTAATACAATAGTGTTGTTTGCAAGTTGATTACAGGCGAGCAAGAGGAGATATATCGCTAAGAAAGGAATACGGAGAGGGCCAGAGTAATTTTGGGTAGGGTCTCAATATTTAATGAATATAATTGCTGACGGATACGAAGAGTCCATCACGATATATGTGAGATTTGAGATTTAAATAAAATATTTCAAACATCCAAATTACTAGGTAGGTGTTGTTAGAGGAAAACGAAAATGAGGTTAAGTTATGACATATATTTATGTAATTAGAATAATTAACCGACTTATAAATTTTGAGTTTGAGTTGTTCTACAGGACGTTACGTTATTTCATTAAATTAAAAAAAAAAATCTTACATAATATTGTAATACAACTTAAGTTATATGGATACCTAATTTAAAACTGACTATTATAATTCTACCAAAACTGATTCGTTATATGAACATTTTTCAAAGAGCCTAAATACAGCATCGTTGAGGCCGATTTTCTGAATTTTATTCTGACCTTGAAAATATGATTTATATGTTAGCGGTTATGTAATGTAATACATTATATTATTAAATGACTAGTTATTTTATAAAATTCTTAAATATGGACGTATTAATACATAAATTACATGGGGTTACTAGTTAATATATAGAATACCAGTTGGATTTTTTCGAATATATGAAATTTATAGCCATCGTTAGGTTGTATTAGTAACATAATACAATATTTGTTTTCATTGTCGTTATATTGATAAAAAAAATAATAAGAGATAATAATGAACCACACAATTCGACAATTTAGTTTATGTGCAGAAAAGTGTATCGCACTTAGTAATGTCCCGATGAAGATATCTGTCTTTGAAAAGCATTCGAATCCCAATTACTAGGTAATGCTCAAGGGTTTTTCAAAGGCACATATCAGCAAAAGTGCACCATAAAATGATGCATATAAATGTTTAAAAAAAAAGGTACTTTGTAACGCTAAATGCCATTTAAAAAGTTCATGTACTAATAAATAAATTGTAATTTGTAATAATAATAATTTAATAACTGTAGATAAAACCTGCAATAAATAGCTTAATATTTCTAATAAATATACATGAAATAAAGGAATGTTTAAATTTTATGTAATAATTTAGGACGTGCCTGACTTTATATTAACATTTTATTTGTATTTTCTAGTTTAAAATTTGTTTAATATTTTAATAATTCTAATAAGTTTATGTTGTACAAATCAGAATCGACTTTTTCAAAATGAATATTTTTATTTTATACAGCGATGCAATAATAGTTTATAATACATTGACTAAACCCTTATCAGTTTATAAAATATCTAGTTCGTATGTAAAACAACTAGTTGAAGTAACTATGTATTTATGATGGATTCATTCAATACATTAACTGAAATTACAYGTAATTCTATAAGATAACTAGGTATTTTATAGAATTACAGAATTTCATACATTTTAACGCTAACATATATTATACACACATTGCAGGGTGTGCCACGTAGTCTTTTGTCAGTTCACGCGTCACGAGAAAACTGTGACCCTCTACAATAGTGTGTATATATAGTACTTGTTTACTGGATATGTGTACATTTCTCGTGTAATTTAGTACCGCTCGGGTAATTTGATCCGTATCGATTCATACAACGATGATATCCTATATACACACAAATATTATTTAGCCTATATATAAAATATATAAGTAATACATATTGGAACGACTATCCTGATATTTTGATGTACACAGTATCTCTAACTTTCCACGTTTGAACTAAATTGATTGTTTTACGCACTTCAGTGTACGTGTAGGGTGCACGTTCGGTAATCCTCGTCCTCTGAGGTTGGAAAACGTAGCTTTTTGTTGATTGTAGTCAAACACAACATTATAATATAATCGTTATTCATTAGCAAATTAGCTGCCAACCTAAAAATGCCAACCTTTACAAATAATATTGCAAATCGGCTTTTAAATTTATTTTTTCATACGTGTTATAAGCGATTTAATACTCTTTTAACTCTTTTACTGTTTGCCATTTACTCCGATGCYATTTAAACTATTTATTTTTCTAAAACCTTACTCGAAACAAGTCCTTTACTTTTTAACTGTTATTGTATTATCTCTTTGTTTTATAATTTATTCATAACTCTGGATTCTAATAATAAAAATGAGTTTTATTTAATATTTTTAAAACCTGGGCATAAGGAAAATAATTTTTAAGTATGAAATAGTTTGTGTAACAACGCTAAAATGGATGGATCAGACAAGAGTTCTCGCATAATTTAATTAAATTGTAATATTACTAAATTTATTATAAATATTCTTTAACTTTTAACTTTTGGCCYCTTTTATTTTTGTTCTACCCCTGTTATATATAGTGTGTATAGTTTATCACTGCATGTCCATAATATTATTTTTTTTAAATAAATCCATATAAAATATTTGAAGAATTTATACATATATGTATKTATGTATGAATGTATATATTATGGATATTCGAATGTAAAAATAATTGTTTATTMAATTTGCAGTGATTTAAAATCATATAATRATGTTCTGAAACTAATATTCTATTATTACTTGCATCAACCCTCAGCYATACCGATATTAGGGCCGTTCAACGTTATATCCATTTGTAATGCATTTTTACGTTTTTAAATTGCGATAAACGATCTTCAAATAGAACACTTTAATCACAAGAATAAATAAATTGTTTTTTAAATACAATTTTTTAGGGCAAGGTTTTTTTTTGCTTAATCTTTATAGCTGTGCTAGGCTCATCGATGAGCGTCCGTCAGCAAARGAAAACAACGCCCATTTTCATTTTTGAATCTATTGTTTGCAAAACTTTTCATGCAACATTTAATGCGAAACATATATAAGCAGAGAAAGAGAGAGAGTGTATTTGTGGAAACGCGAAGCATCCTGTCACTGGTATACTCAGTTTTCACCGAAAATGTAAAAAAAAATATGAAATGTACATCTCCATGTTTATATATATATTATATACTATACACATTGTATATGCTTGTTACTAGTACTTAGAAAAGTTGACGCGAATATTAGGTCGRGTAGAGTTGTAAATATGTTTTTTTGCGTACTCAGAAGAAAAGAAGTCAGACTCCGTGGTTCCTTTTTCGGAAAGCTATGTCACGAATTTTTTCCATAATGAAGTCATTATTGTATACCATAATATTGTTGTGTGTGCGTGATAAAAAATAAATTGTTCTTTCGGGATAAAAAAATGTTTTATATGCAGTAAATAGTTTTACTGTAATGGACGTTTTGGTGGTGGTTGATTTACATCACCRTAGTATATTCATCTAGAACATTTCGTGCAAAAACATAATATGGCCACATTTTATAGAAGTATGAGTCAAAAAATGTATCATTAATATACCATTTTATACGTGCTCGAGTAGAGTGYGGATGTATTATTGACTATAATATAATATGAAGGTTTAATAAAACGTACATCCCACACTACCTATATTAGATGCGAATTGAACATTAGTTTTATTGAAATATACTAACGTTTTTTTTTTCGATTTATTAATTTAAAAACATTGTCGAACAAATTATATTTTTTACCATTCATTTTTGTTCTTATTTTTTAAGTATACTACTTGTTTATGTGATGTTAAACAATGTAAACAGCGAATTTTATTCCATAAAAATTAGATTTCAAAAGATTCATTAATTTGTTTTTTTTTAAGCTAAGAAAAGCTGTGTATCCGTACACTAATCAAAAATTTATATATTTATACAGTTATAACTTCCTGTTTAAAGTTTAAGTTTTGTACATTGAAATTCTTAAATAGATATTCTACTTTGGAGTAAGAAACCAAAAATATCATTTAAAAAAAAGCACACACTCCATTGTAAAATCAATAYATTTATATTCCGCCTCAGAATCTAAAATAACAAAAACAAAAAAACGGCAATGATAAAAAATAGTGAAAAGTATCTTAAAGTTTAAACGTTAATACTTTTAAATTAGAGTTTAGAGTTAGAATTAGAGTTTCCTTTAGAAAAACGCCTAGAAAAACGCCTTGACAATTACTTCCAACTACACCGTTGACTTATATTGTTTAGACTTACATTTGTTATCTTACTGAACTCAGTATGTTTTTATCATCAAGCAGGTTCGTCCAAAAACAATGGTTTGGCGATTTCTGTGACGCGCAGAACTAAAAAYGGCGTGTACATGGGCCAACTCACCAAGAACAACGCATTGGTTAATGGAGGCAAGTATTTAACATTTATATCTCTATAATAATGTGATAAATATAACCATACACATAGCTCAAAAATATTATAAATAATTGGGATAATTTTTACAAAGTAGGAAAGCTTTCATYAGTATAATACACTGTAATAAAGGCTATAATATGTGTGAATGAATTAGGTTGTAGATAAGTAGTTAAAAAAATTATTTCAAKATTCAACCAGCAATTGATGTCCGAATTAATGTAAATTTAATAATTGTAATTTAATTTAACTTATTATTTGTTACTTGATCAGTATTATTTAATATTTTTTTATCTAATTCTTAATCACTTGTGATTATTGCAAATCTTATTTTACAGATTGTAAAATTTTGTAGTTCAAAAAAAAAACTTTGAATTTTAATTTGAATRAAAACAAATATATTTAAAGAGAACGATTATCATACTGAGCTTGTACGMTAATCGGTTATTATGACGGTTTKTCACCTAAGTTTTGATTTATTCAAGGCAGTTAAACACTTTGCGGACAATTTGMAAAATTAAATCTGAACTAGGTATTCATTGCATAGTGTTGAGGTATATATTATTTTGTTGCCACCCTATTTTTTGTCTTCAAATAAATCACTTTGAACATCGTAACAATATTAGCTGTAATTTTTTTTTTACGTTTGGATTGTGTTTCATCTACCTCAAATTAATAATATGGCTATGATTATACGTTGTTGTGATCGGATCGTGAGTAATCGAAATTTATTTGATATTAAATGTTTAGACAATTTTCTAGTGCAATTGAGTCTTCGTCGATCCTTTTGATATAATCTTATCACATACCGTGTAAACGACGGATATGGTATTATTTAATATTGCAGTGATATACCTACCTAATATAATATATAATATTATGTATTATAATAAGTACTCTGTGCATATTAGTCCATCGACTCAGATTGTGAAACGTATTTCCGAGATCCCTTCTCCCCCACCACCGCGTAGTATTCACTCATGACAACTACAACATGATATAGCTGCTTTTTGTAATGTACTCCATATTATACTCGTGGAGTTTCATTATCTCGTGGCGTTTAATCCCAGGGTGACTCGATTGAGAACGAGAGTAAATCCTCGGCACTCTAAGTACAATGCCRCCGCTGTATTTAAAATCACGTTTAACAAACTATACAATATTAAGCTACTACAGTGTAGGATATATATATATATATATATATATATATTGTGCAGCTTATGAATTTTTTTTAAATATATCAATTGTTCTAATCG